ATTGAAAAAGCTGCGGTTTTGAAAATACCTGTTGGTGTGGACAGGGCCTGTGTTGCAGTCGTCCATGAGGGGCTGCCGCTTTACTTTACTTTAGTTTTTTTTATTTTTATGATTAAAGTTTGTTCCCATCTCCATCTTCCCTGAGCCTTCGTTACACTCAATCTTAAGGCATTTGATTAAACCCCTAACCATAACCACTCAATGTGGCACAAAGCAGTAAAGATATGAATTATCCCTGAAATGATGCACCTTGTTCAGAAGAGGAGTGTGATTATCTTCCCGAGTGACTGGGGAAAAGGCCACATCTAGGCACCACCCAAAACAATGGCCGAGAGTTGATACAGATTTAGTCTGATTCATGATTTGGGTATATTTCAGTTACGCATATGAAAGAAACTCAAATTAGTGCTATAAATTATAAATGGAACCTTCTAACTTGGTACATTACAATAAATTTAATTTGAATAATTAACTACAGGGCCTAAATTATTCAGTTGAGCAGAATAAGTATGAGTTTTTATTGCCAAGAGTCCTCATTCCAGTCCACATAATTAAATACAAAATGAAAAAAAAAAAATAATTAGGTAATGGTATAACAACATGTTCTCTCCCTATCATTCTCGTCCTTTGTCTCCTGTAATAATAGCACTCTTTGAGGTTTATTAATGGGTATTAATGAGTCTTAGAAAGCGTTACGATGTTCCCCACACACACTCCCTGAGGCGCTACACTCAGACTACTGAAGCGTTGTGAGACATGCAATCCCACGTATCATGTGTTTCTGCTGAAAAACTGTGAATATAACGGATCTGATATCTAAACTCCAGGTAACCGAGTTCAGTTCATCAGTTACGAAGGTCCAGTGAAATGTTTTGCATATTCACATTTCTTAGCTTATACAGTTTATCACTTCATATCTCACCGGGCGGAGGTCCAGCTCATTTACAAGTTTTCATCCTGTTTATCGCTTTCAGTCTTGCTCTTTTCAATCCCCTCTCCCTCAGGTTAATCACATCGGTGGTCTGTCACTCCACGAGTGTTTTAAATAGCCCCTAACTATTTCTGACATGTATCAGCGTAGCCAGGGAAACAAACCAGCTCGGCAGATGTGTGTGTGTGATATGTGTGAAATAGGGTTAGAGGTTGCACGGTTGTCATGGGAACACATGCTGCAAACAAACACTGCTCTTTCTTCCCTGATATGGAGATATCAAAGCTTTGGCACAAGTTTCCACACACACACACACGTCATGCTGTTACAGCATTTGCCGAATTTAAGTTCTTTCTTCGGGAAAAAAAAAAGCCATTGGAGTGTCTTTACTAAGAAGGTTGAATAATTCAGGTGTTATTCTTGGCTTGTTTGCTTGAATAACTTAAATTAGGTTAAAGGGATTGCTCAAACAGAAATGAAAATGCTGCCATCATTTACTCACCCTCACATCGCTCAATACATGTATAACTTTCTTTCTTCCTTGGAATATCTAAGAATTATTGTTGAAGAACAGGTTTTGTCCATTTGTCCTAAAAAAAAGAATCTACTTTTATGTTCTGCAGAAGACTGCAGCATCCAAACTTAAAGTGATACTTTAAGAGCTGATATCCAGCCTATAAAGCTTATAAAACTTAAACTTTGTTATTTTTTTTTTTAAATGAGCGATCGTTTCGCTTGATAAGACCCGTATTCATCATTTGGAATCGTTTAAAGCCCTTTGAACAGTTTGCAGTTTGCACTGAAACCCTCAATTAGACCTTGAACCGTTTGGTTCCCATTGAAGTCCATTATATGGAGAAAAATGGAATGTTTTCATCAAAAACCTTAATTTCTTTTCAATTGAATAAAGAAAGACATAGACATCCATCTTGGATGACATGGGGGTGAGTAAATTATCAGCAAAAGTTTTTTTTTTAAAGTGAACTACTCCTTTAAGGACACACAAGGGTTAAACTTAAATTTATCCCTGTGATCAAAGTTGAACCAGCATCATTACTCCGGTCTTCAGGGTCACATGATCCTTCAGAATCATTCTACTCTATATGATGATTTTTTTTTCCAACAATATATTTATTTGTCTTTTTTGTTTTTTATAACATACAAACAACAGAACCTCTATATGATTTAGCGCTAAAGAAACAAATCTGATCTTGAAAACAGTTCTTCTGCTTAATATTTTGGTGGAAACAGATTCATTTTTGTTTTTTTACGATTTTTTGATGAATAGAAAGTTAAAAAAAAGAACACCATTTATTTAAAATAGAAATCTTTTGCAACATTATAAACGTCTTTACTGTGATCAATTCAATGCATCCATGCAGAATGAAAGGGTTTTTTTTTTTTTTATATTTAACCTTTAGTGTTCATTTTTTAAAGATAAAAGCTGTGGCTGCATCAGATCTATGCATCAACCTTCCAAACTACATTAGCGAACCATCACGCAATGAGCCTCTTCCCAAACACACACAC